TTCCCGCCGCGTAGTCGGAGTCAAACGCCTGATTCCACGACTCCAACTTTCATCTAAGTCGGGTTGGGGTATCTCGTTCCGGACTCTGGGGGATATGTAGAATACGGACGTACCGAATGAATATTTCGGGTCGAGAATTTCCCTAAAAAAAACTCCGCGACTCGGTCTAAAGACTGTCCCCCGCAACGCGACCGCGGCCTATCATGGGACCGAAACTAAAAGTGTCCTGGCAACAAAATGTTATGAAGGAGCCGGAAAGCGTGCCCAGAAGCGGGGAGCGGAGGGAGTCGTGAATTATTCAGAGTCGAGTAGTAGAAAGAAGCGAGCGGCACGCTTTTCAGCGAGCAGAGATGGAAGAGGACTGGATTTTATTTCTCGCGGAACTCCCGACGCACACCGGCACCGATGCTGGCCCAGTAGTTACTACTCCTGCCACCGCAACCACTGCCTACGTCCGTCGTCGTCGTCGTCGCCTCCTCGTTCACGTTCCAGAGGAAGCTTTTTCGTTTTGCGACTCCTCACCGCGAACTGAATTATGCGGAGGCCGCCTAAGTCACTCTGAGAGTGGGAGACTCGGCGACTGAGTGAGTGGAATGTCTGCTTGCTTGCTCGAAGCCATAACCCGAAGCTCCTTTTTCGGCAAGCGACTGGATCAAAAACTGGCTAGATGGTAGCTCACTCTCATATCTTGTTGCTCGTTGCCCTGGCTGGCAGTTCGCCGACGCTCCTCAAAAGGCAAACTTGCATAATCCGATTAGAAAGTTTATATTCGACGAAGCACAAAAAATCAAGTTATAAACCGCAGCGGCAAAAGGACGACTGGTGCTTTCTCAGCGCTCTTTTTCAGCCGAACTGCGTGCTTTCCTTTGCTGCCCACCCGGATGCCCCGCTTTCTGCCCTTCTTGCTCGCGTTTCTCCTTTGATTCTTCCGCCCCCCACCCCGGCCCGTCTCGCCGCTTGCTCCCAACTCCCTCGCCCCCTTGTATAAAAGGAACCCGAGCGAGATGCAAGCGAAGGCAAGTATCCACTTCAGAAGGGACAGCACAGGCGAGGCGGCCCCTCTGAATGCATAATAATCCCGCTTGTGGTTCCCAGCTCTCGAGAGACAGAACATCGACATATTGGTCCTAATCGGTTATCTGTATCCTTACGGAAGTCGCAGCGTGGATTCTTTGGCTCGACTCCTCGCTCAAAGGATCAAAAGTCAAGGATCAGACTGATTCCTGAAGAATTCCCCTGAATCGAAAGGACCAGGAACGTTGGCACCGATGCTCTAAAACACTGAGAGTCCCGTGTCGTCCGGGATGTCACGTGCGCCCTATGGCTCAGAGTTGTGGAAATAAAGCGTAGCGAAGCTTAATGCGTCGCTGAATCGGGAGGGCTTGCGGGCATTAGCATCAACAGAAGCATCAACAACGATGATGAGTGGGCAATTTTGCAAAGATATATATTTCCCGCAACTAACAACCTCATCGGTGGTAACAGGCATGCGGACGGTCGGGCGGGCAGGCAGACGGTCGGATGGGCGAATGGGCAGGAAAGGGAGTAGACAGACAGGGGAGCTGACTAAGTCTCTGTATGGTTCGCTCGTTCGGTCGGTCGGTCGGAGGGTCGTTGTTGGTTGGAGGTTGGTGTAATACATTCGCTTTCCTTCTCTTCTCTGGCTTCGCCTGTTGCGAGTATGTAATTAAGTTCCGCAAACTGTTCTCTTCTCTTGCGAGTCGACTCCGGGATCGTCACGGTAGCGGCCTCGGCGCCACATGTGATGGAGGTCTCCGTCGTCGTCGTCGTCAATATGAGGTTGAGTGAGGATTCTCCCCCAGTTCTCCCGAAGCCAAAGATCCACTGCTTCCTGTTGGAGCTACTAGCGTTGCTGGTTGTAGTGGTGGGATGAGATAACAGACTGATAGTCCTTGGGGCTTTGGCGTCGATCAGGGGATAGGGGGTCATTTTATTATCCATCTCCTCCCAGGGAGCGAACGGACCGACGAGCGAGCGAACCAATGAACCTGCCTACCTGCTCACCCGGTCACCCACCCGCCCGTGGATCCGTCGGGCTGGCCGTGTGCCCGCTTCACTAACTCGCTGGTCTCGCTGCTCGGCCCTCCCGAAAAAGAGATTACCCAACCTGTTGTATCACTTCCTGCTCACCGACTAATCGCTGGAACATGGTCCAGAGAGAAGTCTTCTGTGGAATAAAACCGTTCGTGGCTTGCATGGGCTTGCCTGTTCGTCAAGCCGAAAATTCCTCCGATGATGGCGCCGTCTGCATTCGGCAGGATATCTCTGATTACTCGAAGCGCAGCGGTAATCGTTACTACCCCTATGCAAGTCGTATGAGAGATCGATATCAGAGGCATCTTCCCGGATGAGCCGCATCTTACGTCTGGGCAGACGGCATGACGAGGCTCGCGTCATTGAGCTTCATTTCCCAGAAGAGCGAGTCCTACCGTCTCAAGGTCCCGTAGTTAGGATATGGCTTCGATGATTCATCCGCTCCATGACGTATTACGCTCCTTACCCGATCGCGAGTGCCTTCAGTCCCTACCGGGAATCTGAGACGACGCATTTCGCGGAGATCTACGATTGAATGCGCATCGCATTCAGCTGGAGATATCTGTCATCGAGGATAAGTTCATTTCCGTAAGATCCGTTTCGAAGCGCTTCCCCTTGTATCCTTCATTTTCAGGATATACTATGTAGTTGTGAGACAGCTCGCAGGCCAATCCTCCTCTCCGAGGAAATCGAGGAAAAGAGTAAACACAGCTCGACCAACGTTGTTATTTATTGTCGAGGAATTTGAGAGGGGTGGTTGCTCGCGTGACGCGCAGACTGCTCGTCTCCAACTCATTCTCCCCTGGACATCGCTACCAGACCAATAAAATCTCGAATGCTCCCGCAGACCTTCACGAGCTCCTTTTCGAGCTCATCCAGAGGTAGGGATATCGACCGTGAAGGGAGCGAACAGGCTGTTCGTAAATACATTGTTATTCAGATTTGAGACTCGCATACAGGTCTCTCTCGTGGCGTCGACGCTTCGGAACACTCGCCAGTCGGATTCACAAATCCTGGAAGTCTGCGTCGAAAATGCGACGACACGAGTTTTCGACTGTCAGTTCCGCGGGGACGAGGATATTCCACGTCACTGAACCTTCAGATGCTCACGTGGAGCGAGGGATGAACATACTTCTCGAGTGTAAACACGCATAAATATATGCACGCTCATGCGAGTGTTTCGTCTATCCATCGGTACGGAGAACTGACCCGCAGAGAAGGAAGTATCGGGGATTTCGACCGATTCAAAACTCGTCCTCGGATGTACATACGCGTGAGCAGACATCTAACACCAGTATTGTCGCCAGCTAGGATGAACAATTCCGAGAGATCCCTGGGAATCGGTAGATTCATCACTCCGTAAAAACTCCGCGGGACGTCGAGGCGGCAGTATCATCCACTCCAGAGTTCACAGTATTTTCCGCGAATTTCGGGAAGACCCTCCGGGACATGTCTCACAAGAAAGACTGAACTTTACGATATCGACTCCGAACGAGTCGCGCGAAGCGCTGATGCCGTCCGAGCTCCTAGCCTTCAGGTCTTCCCGATGCTATCAGACGTCTCCAACAGCTTTTGCTGTCATTTTTAGTCCCGGACCGCTCGATGCGCAGAAAATCAAGAGGAGAGGATCTCAATCTCCGGCGATTGCTCGGAGGATATATTTTGCTGACTCTGGACATTCGAAGGAATACGTACGAGTCTTTCCGTGCCGCATGAGCTCCTCCGCTACGGCGCCATCGGAATACTCCCCCAGGGAGGTCCGCAGACGATGATCCCGCGCCGGATCATCTGGCCGATGCAGAAGTTTCCCCGCGAGTACGTCGTCATACGTTGAACCGCAACTACCAAGTTTTTTACCCTGTCGAATAATAATCTATGTAATGATCAAGGAGGGCTGGGGCCGTATTTTATCACATTTGAGGAGCTGAGGGGACCTCCTGCCCCTGTTAGTCGCATGGCGCGCTTTCGCCGTGTGCCACAGGTGCTTTGGATCTGAAAGACTTCTCATTGTCGGGCTCCCCTGGCATGTCTCAAAACGAGTCCGTGTATCGGAATAGCCGTTGTTAGTGGCGCAGCCACAGGATGTGCGACCTACCCGGATCTCGCAGCGAGAATCCGCGACGGTGCTGCCTCTGCTCTTGCCACTGTTGCTGATGCGTATTCTAATCAGAATTAATGAACAGCTCTAAGATACGCGGACAGGAAAGCGGACACACGAACAACAGCGGGACTGACAGAGACACTGGCTTACTCACATTCAGAGAGAGAGCGCACGGGCATTGTATTCGTTGCTGGTGGTCGTTCGGTACCAGTTGCGCACATGATGTACGAAAGAGTGAGTTATAACACTATCGGGCTCTCTCTCGAGCGTGGCCCTCGTCGTGAGTGGGACGAAAAAGAAAATTTATCAACGGTGAGTTGGCTTCATTACAGCTGGCTTCTCGATAGCCGAGCAGGACTCTCCGAAGTCTGATATTTTCTTCTCTTCTTGATTGAAAATAAAAACTCGGAGATGTCATCAGAATCATCTCCCGAAGTCATCCACGGAGCATACATCTGCACCGTTCCGAAGCCCTCGATGACGGACCCGCGCGCTCCCTCTGTCACTCATTCAGAGCGAGGCGTGCGCGCCTCATACTTCGTCTGGCAGGCAGGCAGGCGGGCGGGCGGTCGGTCGGTCGCTCGCTCGGCACGATGGGAATCGGATGCGTGGATCGATGCTTTCATTGAGTCTCCATTCTGTGGCTTCCCCACATCTTCCAAGATTCGATGGCGAGGGCTAATTAGGCTTTCGACTTTACCGAGGGAGGACAACTCACTGATTGTGAGTCAGAGAGGAATAGCACGGAATAGAACGAGGGCGAATACTCATCCAAGAAGATCATCACAGACATTTATTAGCTTCGCTTCCGGCGACGGAAACCAATACGAAATTCACACTGAGTGCTCGAGGAACGACGGAACTCTTTCAGCGGCACTCACGACCGGCTTCATCTTCGCAAAATTCTCCCGAGCATCGTCGGCGTCGTTCGATTATTTTTGTACACCCCTCGATAGACTATGTTTTATAAACAGTATTATTCACACTCCCAGAGGAACTGTTGCTTCCTCTTTCACTCAGTACGGATGACTCACTAGCGAGCGCACTGTGGATGTAGACGATAGGTGCCGAGATGCGTCCGCGTGGTTGGCCATTTTCGACCGTTTCAACTGAACCTTCAAACGCTTGTCGCCTATGGCAAAGCCGTGCAGGGCTCGTATCGCCGCTTGCGCGTGTAATCCGTTCGAGTAGGACACGAATCCGAAGCACTTTGAGAGCTGGGTGTGTCTGTCTACGAAAACTTTGGCGGAAATCACTTCGCCGAACGGGGCGAACAAACTCACCAAATCCATATCCGTTAGATCCTGTGAATTCGAGAGAAGGAAACGTCATTTTCAGAAGAAAAAGGCTAACTCTAATGTAGCCGAGTAACTCCTCCGTGCGGATCGACAGGGACGGCGCTCGTCTGAGACGAACGACAGGAGAAACCGGATTAGATTTGAAGGGTTCCTTTGCAGTCAAGGTCGGATTCCCTCCTTTGTGCATCGAGAATGAGAGGGCCTTGCGTAATGCATTGCAACAGAGAGCCTTTCCCCGGCTACGGATCCGCATTTGGAAATGGGACGAGGGCCATGCCGAGATAAAAAGCGAGCTCTGACTCTATGCGTTGGTAATGAGAGCGGCTCACCTGAGGCAGATGATATATGAAAAGATTGGAACCCTCGGGACCTTCCTGCTGCTTGCCGGCGGGATTGTGGAGACTCGCTAGGTGTTGACTCAATGCGACGGGAAGTTGTTCTTGGTAACGAGACAACTGTGCGGGATTTGCATTCTGAGGCGTGGTCACGAAGCTCGGCGTTCTCCGAATGTTCATAGTGTTCATTAGCGGTTCATTCTGTGATTGGAAACCACAGTTTCCCACCATACATGTCAGAGGAGAGTTTCCTGGAATATATATGTTCTCTCAAAATCTGCTTGCTCAGGACCGGTTCGAGAACCGGAACAATCAAAACACGCCGCGTTCCTATTTTTGGGATCTCTCGAAGTCTTCTCTCCATTCGGAGCTTGCATGAAGACTCTGGAACGACGGGAGTAGTGTACCTGCCCAAAATTCGCTCACCTATGTGCGGAGAGTGAGTGTTTAGAGGAACGCCCACGCTCTGTTGGATGCCCCCTTCGAGCGAGCTGTTCGAGGTCGTTGCGGCTTGCGTATTTGGGGCGCAAAGTCCGTTGATCAAACCGTCAACAATGTGTCGTTCCAGTCGGGAGGCAATCCCGTTCGCCAAACTCTTTGCAAGTACTTCAAGCTGCAGATCTGAGAGATTTGGCGTCGGCAACGAACGCTCATCCCGACGTCCCGAGTTCTGGGACGCATTCGCCATTCCTTGACGTGCGGCTTTGAGTTTTCTTTTGAGACGTCGACTGGCAACGTAGGTACTGACTAATGTCGAGTTGTGGAGATTCGCTGCCGAAAGCGAGGGCTTTTCTTTTTGACAAGGGCTGCACGGTGGGGTGAGTAGCAACTCCGAGATCGATTTGTCGCAGTTCATCTCCGCTGTTTCAAATATGGGCCTGCAACAACGAAAATCGCGCTAGAATTCGACACGCACATGCGCAAGTCTATGAATCACCGTCGGTCCGAGTGATTGTTTCGGAATGTGCGAGGTAAGGGGTCCGGCCTCAAGAGGCCGCATCGGGATCCACGGGCGGGAAATATGCTCCTTGAGGACTTCGGAGTCTCACCCAGAACCCGACTTCAACTATTCTCACAAATCTGCTGGGACCTATTGCTGAGCATCGCGCACTTGAGCTGAATAATTGTTCCAATACCGACATTGATCTAAAGAAATAGTATAGGAGCTTCATCACAGAACGAACGTCATTTGAGAGTTTGACCGGAATCCTGCATGATACTCTCGATCGATATGTCTGCAAATCGCTGCGTCTCAGTCGATGAGCCGCACATCTCTCGATCCTGATGAGCTTAAGCGAGAAAGCGAGAGTACTCGGCTCGGAGGAGTTCACCTTCGCCGAATCATTCTCCGACCATCATTCTTATGAAGAGGTCTAGACGGATCCCTTTTCTCCCTCGCGTTATAACCCGCCAGGGTAGGATGATTTTCCTCCGGTGGAATGTTTCAGATTCAGAGGCTGACGTCCCATGCTCGGGAGGTGCGACATGCACCGAGTAAAGCTCTGCTGTTGATTCTTATCCCGATCGAGATCCGGTCGAAGAGTCAGTTTTCTACTCCAGACGATCATGGATCCACTGATGAGTTAATCATCAATCATCGACAGCTCGAGCTTAAATTCCAGAGTATAGTTCGATCTCTGATTACGCTCACCATGAACGGTGTGGATCCTGTAATCAACTTCAGCATCGATTCCAGAGTCACAGTTCTGCGGTACATCCAGTGGATTCTGAATATCCAATCGCGCACATCACGTGCGAGCCGAAACAGAACACACCCCGGCCGTCATGTGCACCGGTCGATGAAGCTATGAGCTCAGACTCGCGACTCAGCTGGGAATTCTGGACAAGTCTCGCGCTCCCTCCCTCGAAGTTTCCCTTCCCACGAGGTGAGGGTATGCTGAGGATCATAATCCTCAGCCATGCGAGCGGAGGAGGAGAAGGGTACGGGCAAAGAAACTCGGGATGACTCGCCGATCTAGTCTGAAATTCTCTTGAAAGTTTTAATGTGCCGGTTCGTATTCAACCGTTCTCCGCAGGCGAGAGCGAAGCCACTCGGCAATTTTTTCCCCCGACTCGGTCTCTAAATAACATCGAGGGCGATATTTATTCCGAAAACCTGGAGCACGGTGTAACCTCGACGACATTTCTAGCAATATTCTCGACCCGGGAAATTTCACACATGTGAGCGAAACCATATTCAACCTCACGACCTGCCCTTTATTCCTTCAACCGGATTGCCGATCGTGGTGAAGTTCACTGAGGAGATGCGCGACGATACCCGTCCCCCCTCGAGAGGTTCTGTCACAGGCTCGTCGTTATGTATCTCGCATGCAACGAGTCGAAATCCGTTCCGTGCCATAGAGTGGAATATAAACACGAGAAATGTCCGAAGTCCATCCAGACCAATAAACATGTCAGCCGAGCTGGAGCTCCGGCCCCTATCTTGAGTCGAACAGTAGCTCGACTTACTCACTCTGCACTAGTGCATGCTATCTTATTTTCTGCACGGTTTGGCCCTTGCAGCCGTTAGTTGTCCGATATGCCTCTTCTAAGTGAGCGTACGCCCCAGTGCGCCAGAGATACTACTGCTGACTTGGAGCCACCAGATGCTCTCTACCGTGCAAATGACTCCGCTTCGGGGTGTCGAGATTTTTCAGGCGGTAGGTGGAGCCTGTTCGAGGTTTCGGGGCCTATTCCACAAAATGTTCCTTCAGTTCTTCGAGCCGAAAAGTAGCCCGCTCGTCGCAGTATTTCTTGCGTGGTTCTCGATTACCGGGGGGATTCCGAACTTTCCCGCATATTCCCACGAATGATTTGCGCTGGCGAACCAGTACAACAAGCGTGTATCGCTCTGTGGAACTCTCCCAGCGAACGATGGAGGCAGCAGCGGCAGCTCGGTCCCTCCGGATGGTTTTGATACGTTATGTGTTATTCTTATCGGAATGGTCGCCTCTCGACTGCCGGAAACGGCTCCGAAGCGGAATCTCCCTGCTCTGAGAGAAGCCTGATGGCCCAGCGCCAGGGAAACCGTGCCCGCGGGCGCTGAAGAATGCGTTTTATGGACTTCCGCCTCCACTGGCTTCGCTCGCCGCCACCACCACCACCGCCGCCGTCGCTTCGGTAGAAGAAACCACAACACGCACTTCAGACAAGCCCCTCGAAGCCTCCCGCGGAATCCCTCTCGAAGCCCCTCGAAGTCTGTCTGGCCACCTTTCGCCTTGACTTGAGCCGCTCGTCCAGCCAGTCAGCCCGAGCCCGCTGAGCGGCCAATCATCCGAGCGACCCAGTTGCCGAGCCCCACTTTCACACTTCCACGGCTGACAGTCGCCGCCGGCCTATCCAGGATTGCTCACTCAATCACTAACGCTCGTCGGGCTGCACCGTATGGAGAAAAAGCCCTCGGAAATTCCGAAACAAAATATGCCTGGCAAGGCTGGAGGGATCAGGGATTCAATACCAAACTACGACTGCGCAGATGGTTGAAAAATCACTTGACTTTGAGTATGAGGTAGGCGTCAGCACCCCCAGTAAGTCCAGGGCCCTAAGTCTATCTGGCGTCTAGAATTTGAAGCACTTCCTTGTTGGACTTCAGCATTCAAGTAATTTCCTCGATGCGACCCGACGGCGATGCGCAGGGAGCTGCTGAGAAACTGCGACCGAACAGCGTTCGAAGTCATTAATGCGGATGTCGACTCGCAGAGTATCCGCGATTGGGTCCGAGGTCCACTGTCGAGACTCGAAAGTCTGCCGTTTTCCTTTTGGGTAAATACAGGCTCAAGTACAACGAAGCGGAGTCGTTTCTGGAAACGTATTGCTCTCAATTCTGATTGTTGCGACGTGTGGCCTCGGCCGTCCAACGAGTCGAGAAGCCAATAGCCGTCAGGGAATCGGAAAACTTCAGCAGCGACCGCTGATCGATTTGGAATGTAGCTATCAAGCTCCGACCCCTGCCTGGTGTCGGTCACAAAGAGCCTCTCCCAAAATGATCCATAAGTCACCCACACCCGCATTATACACCTGCGACAGCAAGTAAACTACAAATTGCTTTCGGCTATCTCAAACTTCTTTAATGGGAGAATTCTCGGTCAGAGAATTTTAGTCGAGTGATTTCGCGGAAAGGCGACAAGAATGCTCGGCCTGCGATCGTTTCCGTCGCTCGACTCGCTCATCTGGGTGAGGACCCGGGGAGTTGCAACGCCCGGCCGAGGACACCGGAACGGGGGTCTTGCTTCGTTTCTTGTCCCGTTGCTAGAGCTGCAATCCCAGTAATCCTCCGAAACGAGTTGGTCGTCTCGGAAGCGTTGTTGTCTAGCCGTTCGTCTCGTAGTCCGGCTGAGCGAAGTCTTTACTTCCTCAAGAGTGGGATTCCGCTTCGATACTGATGGGCCCCAGATCCTCGTTCGTCTGCTCGAGCAATGACACAACTCGTTCCACTCAGCTTAGTATCAGCATTCCCAACATCATCACTTTCATCGTTCCGGCCCAACCAGCCTAGAAGCAAGGGAAGCTGACCCAGTACGCCTCCCAACGAGAGACTTTCGTTGTACTTCCGTCATTGACTGCCTAATCAATCGAATCCGGTAGCAATTCTAGAATTTTGTTCCAATTTATCATTTTGAATTTGTTGTTACCCTTCACAGAAGCGCTGGACTGGATTTATCCGTCATTCCGCGCTGCGATTCTTCGGGGTCCAGTGTCCGAGCCAGCTGACGCGAGGTTGAAACGAACGTCTCCAACTCATCTGAGGAAAGTGGCCCCCTCTCCTCCCATCCTTCAGGATGAGGGCTGAGGCGTCTGGGAGACGAGCGCTTTCCCAGGAACGCCAGGAGATGCCCGGGAAATTCCGGTTCAAACGAGCGAGCGGACAATGTCTGTTCGTTATTCAGCGCCGAGGAGCCCTTCACAAGTGAAGGCAGGCTGCTCGGTCGGCAGCTGGCACCGTGGTTGGCTGACGAGCGAGGTCATTCCATTAATGCGGTAGGCAAATGAGTGCTTATCGGTCGGTCAGACGCTTGGTCGGTCGCTCATGTCGGTCTCCTTTTGGTCTTCATACTTCTCGTGGCACTCTGTCGCGCAGCTCCCTCTCTCGTCGGCTTCGCTTACCGTGTTCTAAGGAAGCCATATAATACACTTATCCTTGGAAGCGACCTACCGATCGCGGGGGGAGTTCGTCCTCGTTCATTAGATCAGCGAGATAGGTCCGAATCGGGGACCAGAGGCGACCCAACAGTCGAGAACCACCATAGCTGGATCGATTTTAATCATCCAGATCACGGACGCAAGATGAAGTGCCGGCTCGGGGAATGAAAATCGGGATCGCGAATATTTACTGCGTTCGGGCCTTACGCGAGAACTCCGACTTTCAGAGTGAAGACGCTCCTCTGATGATGATCAGACGGGCCACATTATTTGAAGAACAAAGTTGCTTATGATATCCGCGAATTCAGCAATAACATCCACTCCAGTGATGCGAACACAGCAGAGGAGTATCGTGGCCGTTCTGCGGTCTACGCACATATTTTCGCTGCCATATCGGGATCGACTTTTTCGAACTTGAGCTCAGCTGCACGGTACTTACTCGGAGGGAAGTTGCCTATGAATTGAGCTCTCGGGAGATATGCATCGGCTTCACTCGGTATGGGGCGACTGCCTGTCTTCACGGAATTTTCCGGATCCTACGCGTGGGGATGCTTACGGAGCTCCGACGATTATGAGAATGATAACATTGTTGGCGGCAAAGGAATTCCCGGTCGGCGTCAAGTTGTTCGTAAACTCAGCTAATCTCCTTGCCCTACTCATTCAACTCATCAAATGTGTGAGAGCTGAAGAACCCGAGGGCAGCTTGCCTCCAATATA